CAACCTTTCTTCATAGGACATTCCCCTGAGCTCCGGAACTAGCCTTGCTGCAAACCTTTGTACTTTCTCTAATTTCTTGACGTGCTTGACCAGGTGTGTATGTGTGTGTGTACTCACCTAGTTGAGGTTGCAGGGGTCGAGTGCTAGCTCATTGCCCCGCCTCTTCACTGGTCGCTACTGTGTGTGTGTGTGTGTGTACTCACCCAATTGTACTCACCCAATTGTGGTTGCAGGGGTCAAGACTCAGCTCCTGGCCCCGCCTCTTCACTGATCGCTACTAGGTCCTCTCCCTCTCTGCTTCCTGAGCTTGCATACTCTTCTTAAAACAGTATGGTCCTCCTCCATATTTCACTTGCTAGGCTATTCCATTTCCCTGACGACTTTATGATGAAGAAATATTTCCCAAACCCCCGTGATTGTCGGGCTTCAGCTTCCAGTTGTGCCCCTTGTTTCTGTGTCCCTTCTCTGGAAACCTATCTTGTCCCCTTGTCTATTCCCACAGTATCTTGTATGTATTATCAGTCTCCCCGCCCTCTGCCCTCCGGTCGTCTTCCAATTTCCCTAAAACCTTTCCCGTACGACTTTCCCCCGAGCATGGGATAGTCTTGTTGCAAACCTTTTTACTTTTTTTCTAACTTCTTGACCTGTGACCAGGTGTGGGTTCCAAACGGTGCTGTACCCCTTTTGGGCCTAACACCGTGTAAGTTTTTGAATGACCCCCATTAATCCTTTTCAGGGTTTGGGGCCTTCCAGTTGGCTTACGGCCGGGGTTTTTGGCGTATAGTACGCCTAAATTCTAGCCCCCCAAAAATCTAGTGAGAGAAAGTGGTAGGCCACTAAAAGAAGGGTCTTTGTGACCCATGTGCGTGGTTTAAAAAAAATTCTGCGCACACAGTGCGTAATGAAAAAAAAAAAAACTTTGCCCGTGTTTTTGGTTTAAAAAGCGACTTTGCCTTATTTTCATATGGTATTTATTTTTTTTGTTTTTTTTTTTCCCGGGTTCTTTTTTATAAAAGGGAAGACTATTACAGAAATTGAGATGTTTTTGGCTGGTTTTCAAAGAAAAGACCTTGAAATTGAGCTCAAAGAGCAGAAATTTTCTTTTTTTCCCAAAGTTAAAAAGTAAACAAATCATCCCCGCACCCAAATACATAACTGGGGTCTAATTTTCTTTCACAAGTGTCTAAATTTTATTTAATACCATTTTACCCAATGCAGTAGTCTGAAAACGTAAACCCCTTATTTTTTTTTTTGTGGAATAAAAATTCAAAGCGGAAAGCAAAAGAATGTAAAAGGGGCAGGGGAATGTGATTTTTTGAACAGAGGAAATGTTATTTTAGTGAGGAATGTCTTTCTTGTTTTTTTTCTGGCCCCTATTTGGGAAAAATTGGGCATCTTAAAATTTTTTTGTGAAATTGGAAAATTGCAAATTCTGACCACTGTATTGGATAGTTGAAAATCTGTAAATGGGTGGTTTCTTTTTACCATTCGATAAAAAAAATTAAGTTTCTAGAAAAATAGTTATGATTTTGTTGAAAAGCATACTGGTTTGGGCCAAAAAAAAGGGGTCAAAGGGGGCAAATCCCCAAATGCGTAAATATCGAGACCGAAACTTCCGGACATAATTCCGTAAATTTTCCATAAAATTTCAAAATTTTGGGGTGTCATTAATGGGGGAAAAGATTCTCTATCTTTTCATAAAAAAAAAATAATTTTTTTTTTTTTTTTTGGCCGACCCTGAGAACAATTTTGGAGGGCCCGTCGCCGAAAGGGTTAAGGTACGGAACGCTATTCCAGTTTTGCCAGGGGGCCCATATGCGCAGCGTTATTGGTTGATGTGTACCTCCGGGGAAATCTTTCCTTGAGGGGTTTGTAGTCTTTGTCCACGTAGCCTATACTCGTGTGTGTGTGTGTGGATGTGGATGTGTGTGTGGTGTGTGTGTGTGTGTGGTGTGTGCGTGTGTGTGTGTTTTGTGTGTGTGTGTGTGTGTGTGTGTGTGTTTGTTGGTTTGTGTGTGTGGATGTGTGTATGTGTGTTTGTGTGCTGTATGTGTGCTGTGTGTGGCTGTGTGTGTGGCTGTGTGCATTGTGGTGCATGTGTGTGTGTGCATGGTGCATGTATATGTGCATTTATTGTACATGTTGTGTGCATTTTGTGGCTTATGTTGCATGTATGGTGCAGGTAATGTGCATGAAAGTGTGCATGTAATGTGCATGTAAGTGGCATGTAAGTGTGCATGTAAGTGTGCATGTAAGTGTGCATGTAAGTGTGCATGTAAGTGTGCATGTAAGTGTGCATGTAAGTGTGCATGTAAGTGTGCATGTAAGGTGCATTAATGGCAATAAGTGTGTAGTAAATGTGAAAGTTATGTGTAGTATATTGCATGTATTTTTTTTTTTTTTTTTTAAAAAAAAGTCGGCCGTCTCCCCCGAGGCTGGGACCCAAAAAAAAAAAGAAAAACCCCAAAAAGAAAATACTTTCACATCATTCAACACTTTCACCACACTCCCAAAAATTACATGCTTTTGCAGAGGTGGCCAAATAAACAGTCAGAAGCATAACATTAAAATACACAACATATCCCTCCAAAATGTAAAATCCCAACCCTCCTTTAAAGTGCAGGCATTGTACTTCCCTTTCCCGACTCAATCCACTTATTTTATGTATATGTGCTTGTATATATTTTTTGTATAAAGTATCAAATGGATAAATAAGAGTTCTGGTATTGGTAACAATACATAAATGAACATTTTAGGGAAAACCTCTTGAAAGCACGCATTTTAACCATACCCGAATTTCTTAAAAAAACAACTGAGCACATATAACATGAAAACAAATTTTGTTATTAAATGTTAAGATGTCACTACAGTTTACAACTGATGATTTTAGTTTAAAAAATGAAGGATTAAAATTTTCTTTCGATGAAATATTACCCAAGTTTAAGAGATCATTATTGACATGCTTTTAAAAATGTTCAGAGATAAGAAACTTTTCCAATATTTAGGTAGGTGTCCCTGTTGTTTCTGATCCTTTGATTTTCGTAGAGTTGGTTACTATATGAGATGATATGTTAGCCTATAGAGGCTTCATCACTTAATTAGTCTTATAATTAAGTAGGCTTATATATCATTTTACAGCCCTCCACAAATCTCTAACACCTCTCACACCTGGAAAATGGCAGATAATCAACGTATCGATGCTAGACTTCCCACAGTTACTCAGGATAAGTCGTACACATGGAACATCAAAGAGGTATTTCTGGCGCCATGTCTGTGTTGCTCTAACTCTCCAAGAAGTGAATAAGCTCATGGTCAATATTTATACAACAACTTATATGACTCCTCTGTATGCTAAGTTTACCTGGAGTTTACCTGGAGAGAGTTCGGGGGTCAACGCCCTCGCGGCCCGGTCTGTGACCAGGCCTCCTGGTGGATCAGAGCCTGATCAACTAGGCTGTTACTGCTGGCTGCACGCAAACCAACGTACGAGCCACAGCTCATGTTTCAAGTTAAGTTTGCTCTTGTCGTGGATTCCCAAAAATTTCCCTTCTTCCTGCCTTCTAACGTGTGAATTATTGAGTATGATATTTGGTTGAACATGTTTGGCTTTTCACCATCTAGGATGACACTTTTTCTAGTTCAGTATTAAATATGTTATTACATTCAGCCAGATCTTATACATGTATATAATAAACACTGTGCTGTAGTACATACTGTGGTGTTGTATATACTAACTATAGAATATAATAGAGCTAATGCATACCAAGTATGATAAATACCATTATGAATATATGTTATATAGAGTACCATAGATCTGTGATATCTCGAACCACTGATGGCCATGACCAGTCTGAGATAATGGTACATATAACACAACACATGTAATGTTGCTATGCAAAAATAGTGCTGGCCTTTATTACTAGGCTTCAGGATCAGTTGCATGCATTACACAATCTTGTAAAATAAAAGGAAGAATGTGTCAAGAACCAGGACAACAAGGATCCCTCCCATGCCCAGATGTATAGTTAAGTATGCTATATAAAGGTTGATATCATTAAGAGTTAGAAGAGTTTTGATGTAAGAAAAAGAGGAAGAACATTAACACTGCCTGCCAACAATTCCTCACTTAGTCAAATAAATAATTAAATATACAAACTATTCCTCAATTTATTGTGTGGGCTAATTATTAGCACTGGACGGTTCTGAGAATATAAATATTATTTATAGAAATTTACATAAGTGATTACTGAGATGGATGATGTCTTTTAGTCAACAGGTGGAAAAATCTGCACGTTTAAGCCTCGGTACATTTTCTTGAAGATTACACGTGATGCTTGAAGCTGCATTTTCTCACTCTTGTTAACCCTCTAACTGTCCAAACGTAGATCTATGTTTGCGCGCGTAGCGCTCCACTCTTGATTTTCTCCATAAGAAAGAATGTAAAAAAAAAAAAAGTAGATCTACGTTCGGAGTGCTACGCGAGCAAACGTAGATCTACGTTTGGACAGTTTAAGGGTTAAAGGTCCACTTGTGTATTTTATTTCAATCTAAAGCAACACAAAAAATAATGGAATTACTGTATATTGGACAATTAAACTGCCACCATTATAACTTTCATATACCTTTGATGAGTTTCAAAAATCTTTTTACTTCTGGAGCTAGCCTAGTCAACCAGTCTGTTGCTGCTGGAGGCCCACTGCCCCACATATCCATCACAGCCTGGCTGATCTGTGATCAACACATTACAGAACATTTGTGGTGCTCAAAAGGTTTCAGAAATGGGTTGGTTTTATAGTCATAATATTATTGTAGAAGATTGGTAATCAGGCTTGCTGGCTGGTGCACATTCCCCACACACTCAGCAGTCGATCACTATGTCCAGTAAACTCGTCCATTTACCTTTTACATACTAAACAATAATGAGTTCACAGGCTGAATTTATTCATCCATAATGATTAAAATAATAATAGTAGTAATAATTCATTTTATATGTAACTTACTGTGGCCATCCTTCGCCTGTCTGGACAGCAAAGAGTGTTAACATTGCAGCCATTACATTGTCATAGTGGAAGCTCTGCTGCTTCCATTGTCTTGGCTTCACATCTGGTGGTCGCTCATACCCATTGAAGACAAAAAACTCTCCCCTAAAGAATAAATTGAAAATTGCATGAACATCCTCAAATTTCTGAGATTGGAAAATTTACAATATCCACATACATACATACATACATACATACATACATACATACATACATACATACATACATACATACATACATACACACACACACACACACACACACACACACACACACACACACACACACCACACAAAGACCTCTCCTTAATACATATGACCTCTAGCCTATTAAAACACCTGCTAATCCATAAAACATTACTCTTTGAACTATTAATTGTAATATTGTTTTTATTATGCACAACTTCAAGATAATTACTCTTATAACCCTCTACCTTGACTACCTCGCATTAGTACTGTACAGTATTAAGATAAAATAAAGATTTATTATAAAGTTAACCACTCTTATCTTGTCTAGACTTAAGTAGTTATTATGTACTAGGATTAGTCTGCCCGAAATGCCTGGCACGATAGTGACTTTCTTTGTACTTAACAAATCAAAATTGTAATTACACAGTGTAACTTTTGAAAAGAAATAAAATCTTTATTCTTATTCCTTAAAATGGATTTCAGCAATTTCAAATAAAAAAAATTGACTGGACATATGTTAGAAGCATCAGATAAAATGAACAAAGTCCATAATTCTGGATTTTGTGCATTAGAATGCATTTATTTATGACAAATAATGTTTTTTTTACCTTAATTAATGTTTTACTGAATATATTACCTTAATTATTCTTTTACTGAATATATTCATACTTTGTTATGATCAGTTATGGAAGGAGAAAAGAGAATATGAATGTGTAAATTCAAGAATTATGTGGATTAAAGTAAAGGTTGGATGCGAGAAGTGGGTCATAATAAGCGTGTATGCACCTAGAGAAGAGAGGAATGCAGAGGAGAGAGAGAGATTTTGGGAGATGTTAAGTGAATGTATAGGAGCCTTTGAACCAAGTGAGAGAGTAATTGTGGTAGGGGACCTGAATGCTAAAGTAGGAGAAACTTTTAGAGAGGGTGTGGTAGGTAAGTTTGGAGTGCCAGGTGTAAATGATAATGGGAGCCCTTTGATCGAACTTTGTATAGAAAGGGGTTTAGTTATAGGTAATACATATTTTAAGAAAAAGAGGATAAATAAGTATACACGATATGATGTAGGGCGAAATGACAGTAGTTTGTTGGATTATGTATTGATAGATAAAAGACTGTTGAGTAGACTTCAGGATGTACATGTTTATAGAGGGGCCACAGATATATCAGATCACTTTCTAGTTGTAGCTACACTGAGAGTAAAAGGTAGATGGGATACAAGGAGAATAGAAGCATCAGGGAAGAGAGAGGTGAAGGTTTATAAACTAAAAGAGGAGGCAGTTAGGGTAAGATATAAACAGCTATTGGAGGATAGATGGGCTAATGAGAGCATAGGCAATGGGGTCGAAGAGGTATGGGGTAGGTTTAAAAATGTAGTGTTAGAGTGTTCAGCAGAAGTTTGTGGTTACAGGAAAGTGGGTGCAGGAGGGAAGAGGAGTGATTGGTGGAATGATGATGTAAAGAGAGTAGTAAGGGAGAAAAAGTTAGCATATGAGAAGTTTTTACAAAGTAGAAGTGATGCAAGGAGGGAAGAGTATATGGAGAAAAAGAGAGAGGTTAAGAGAGTGGTGAAGCAATGTAAAAAGAGAGCAAATGAGAGTGGGTGAGATTTATCAACAAATTTTGTTGAAAATAAGGAAAAGTTTTGGAGTGAGATTAACAAGTTAAGAAAGCCTAGAGAACAAATGGATTTGTCAGTTAAAAATAGGAGAGGAGAGTTATTAAATGGAGAGTTAGAGGTATTGGGAAGATGGAGGGAATATTTTGAGGAATTGTTAAATGTCGATGAAGATAGGGAAGCTGTGATTTCGTGTATAGGGCAAGGAGGAATAACATCTTGTAGGAGTGAGGAAGAGCCAGTTGTGAGTGTGGGGGAAGTTCGTGAGGCAGTAGGTAAAATGAAAGGGGGTAAGGCAGCCGGGATTGATGGGATAAAGATAGAAATGTTAAAAAGCAGGTGGGGATATAGTTTTGGAGTGGTTGGTGCAATTATTTAATAAATGTATGGAAGAGGGTAAGGTACCTAGGGATTGGCAGAGAGCATGCATAGTTCCTTTGTATAAAGGCAAAGGGGATAAAAGAGAGTGCAAAAATTATAGGGGGATAAGTCTGTTGAGTGTACCTGGTAAAGTGTATGGTAGAGTTATAATTGAAAGAATTAAGAGTAAGACGGAGAATAGGATAGCAGATGAACAAGGAGGCTTTAGGAAAGGTAGGGGGTGTGTGGACCAGGTGTTTACAGTGAAAACATATAAGTGAACAGTATTTAGATAAGGCTAAAGAGGTCTTTGTGGCATTTATGGATTTGGAAAAGGCGTATGACAGGGTGGATAGGGGGGCAATGTGGCAGATGTTGCAAGTGTATGGTGTAGGAGGTAGGTTACTGAAAGCAGTGAAGAGTTTTTACGAGGATAGTGAGGCTCAAGTTAGAGTATGTAGGAAAGAGGGAAATTTTTTCCCAGTAAAAGTAGGCCTTAGACAAGGATGTGTGATGTCACCGTGGTTGTTTAATATATTTATAGATGGGGTTGTAAGAGAAGTAAATGCGAGGGTCTTGGCAAGAGGCGTGGAGTTAAAAGATAAAGAATCACACACAAAGTGGGAGTTGTCACAGCTGCTGTTTGCTGATGACACTGTGCTCTTGGGAGATTCTGAAGAGAAGCTGCAGAGATTGGTGGATGAATTTGGTAGGGTGTGCAAAAGAAGAAAATTAAAGGTGAATACAGGAAAGAGTAAGGTTATGAGGATAACAAAAAGATTAGGTGATGAAAGATTGGATATCAGATTGGAGGGAGAGAGTATGGAGGCGGTGAATGTATTCAGATATTTGGGAGTGGACGTGTCAGCGGATGGGTCTATGAAAGATGAGGTGAATCATAGAATTGATGAGGGAAAAAGAGTGAGTGGTGCACTTAGGAGTCTGTGGAGACAAAGAACTTTGTCCTTGGAGGCAAAGAGGGGAATGTATGAGAGTATAGTTTTACCAACGCTCTTATATGGGTGTGAAGCGTGGGTGATGAATGTTGCAGCGAGGAGAAGGCTGGAGGCAGTGGAGATGTCATGTCTGAGGGCAATGTGTGGTGTGAATATAATGCAGAGAATTCGTAGTTTGGAAGTTAGGAGGAGGTGCGGGATTACCAAAACTGTTGTCCAGAGGGCTGAGGAAGGGTTGTTGAGGTGGTTCGGACATGTAGAGAGAATGGAGCGAAACAGAATGACTTCAAGAGTGTATCAGTCTGTAGTGGAAGGAAGGCGGGGTAGGGGTCGGCCTAGGAAGGGTTGGAGGGAGGGGGTAAAGGAGGTTTTGTGTGCGAGGGGCTTCGACTTCCAGCAGGCATGCGTGAGCGTGTTTGATAGGAGTGAATGGAGACAAATGGTTTTTAATACTTGACGTGCTGTTGGAGTGTGAGCAAAGTAACATTTATGAAGGGATTCAGGGAAACCGGCAGGCCGGACTTGAGTCCTGGAGATGGGAAGTACAGTGCCTGCACTCTGAAGGAGGGGTGTTAATGTTGCAGTTTAAAAACTGTAGTGTAAAGCACCCTTCTGGCAAGACAGTGATGGAGCGAATGATGGTGAAAGTTTTTCTTTTTCGGGCCACCCTGCCTTGGTGGGAATCGGCCAGTGTGATAATAAAAAAATAAAAAAATATTCATACTTTGTCTTAGGTAGTAGGTTGGTAGACAGCAACCACCCAGTGAGGTACTACCGTCCTGCCAAGTGAGTGTAAAATGAAAGCCTGTAATTGTTTTACATGATGGTAGGATTGCTGGTGTCCTTTTTTCTGTCTCATGAACATGCAAGATTTCAGGTACGTCTTGCTACTTCTATTTACACTTAGGTCACACTACACATACATGTACAAGCGTATACGTATATACATACCCCTATGGGTTTTCTTCTATTTTCTTTCTAGTTCTTGTTCTTGTTTATTTCCTCTTATCTCCATGGGGAAGTGGAACAGAATTCTTCCTCCGTATGCCATGCGTGTTGTAAGAGGCAACTAAAATGCCGGGAGCAAGGGGCTAGTAACCCCTTCTCCTGTATATATTACTAAATGTAAAAGGAGAAACTTTCGTTTTTCCTCTTGGGCCACCCCACCTCGGTGGGATACGGCCGATGTGTTGAAAGAAAGAAGATTCATACTTTGTATGTATGTATAAAGAACTTACATTTATTTGGTTGAAATGGAAGAATTATATAACTAATATTTATGTTGTGTCAGCTGTGGTTGGTTGACAGGTGGGAGAGGAAAGGAGGGAGGTGCATGGATAGCCACCAAGATGAGAGAAACCCAAGCCCTGGCAAAGAGGGGAAGAAATGGATTGGAGGGAGGAGTGGTTGAGAGGTAATTAAGGAGGCCTCTCCATCCCTCACTGCCTGCCTCCCTGCATGTATAAACAGCTCAATATTTTTTTTTTTTTTTTAGAAAAACTGTCAAAGATCTGTACTGTACATTTATTAAGTTGTTTCAGTTGTTAGGCAGCAGGGAGGTTGGGGTAAGTGTTTTTTTTAAGTTAGGCAGGGAAGTGGGTGGGAAGGCATTTAACGTATGAGTGTAAGACCAACATCTCTCTCTCTATACCTCTCTTGATCCACATTTATGGATTCACAAGTGGGAGTCATTATTTATACTATCTGACTGCATATTCAATGCTGGAAATACTGTATTCTCATGACTCTCTGAAATATTAAACAGTATTTACTTTTGTGATATTCTTGTAGAAATTACTTTAGTTACAAGTAGTGATTGTATGTCGTACATTTACACAGAATTATGGGATCATTAAATGGTTATGACTAAAAATAAATGAAAAAAATTATGATGTCCTCAAACGATACCTCAATCCCAGTTGATGCCTCCTGCTTCAACAACCCATCCACAAACAGACTTATAATAAATATGTGATTGCATCCTAGTTAGAAATAGCAGATCTGTAGCTATAAAGGTTAATTGGTATTTATCTATTCCTGTGTATGTTAGCAAGCATATGTGAACATGTTAGATAGGAGTGAGTGGAGGCAAATGGTTTTTATGACTTAATCTGCTGTTGGAGTGTGAGCAAAGTAATTCAGAGAAACCAATTAGCCAGACTTGAGTCTTAGAGGTGAGAAGCACAGTGCCTACACCCTGAAGGAAGGCTGGAGATATGCTGCAGTTTTTTAACTGTAGTGTCAGCATGCCTCTGGCACAAGATTGATGGAGTGAGTGATGATGGCAGTGTTTCTTCTTCTTTTTCGGATCACCCTGCCTGGGTGGGAAATGGCTGATGGGTTAATTTTTTTTTTCAACAAGTCGGCCATCTCCCACTGAGGCAGGGTGACCCAAAAAGAAAGAAAATCCCCAAAAAGAAAATACTTTCATCATCATTTAACACTTTCACCTCACTCACACATAATCACTGTCTTTGCAGAGGCACTTAGATATGACAGTTTAGAAGTCCCTCCAAACTGTCATTATCCTAAACCCCTCCTTTAAAGTGCAGGCATTGTACTTCCCACTTCTAGGACTCAAGTCCGGTTAACTGGGTTCCCTAAATCTCTTCGCAAAATATCACCCTGCTCACACTCACAGCTCATCAGGTCCCAAAAACCATTTATCTCCATTCACTCCTATCTAACACATTCACACACGCTTGCTAGAAGTCCAAGTCCCTCGCCCACAAAACCTCCTTTACCCCCTTCCTCCAACCTTTTTGAGGACAACCCCTACCCCTCCTTCCTTTCCCTACAGATTTATATGCTCTCCAAGTCATTCTACTCTGATGCATTCTCTCTAAATGACCAAACCACTTCAACAACCCCTCTTCAGCCCTCTGACTAATACTTTTAGTAACTCCACACCTCCTCCTAATGTCCACACTCAGAATTCTCTGCACAATATTTACACCACACATTGCCCTTAGACAGGACATCTCCACTGCCTCCAACCGCCTTCTCACTGCAGCATTTACAACCCAAGCTTCACACCCATATAAGAGTGTTGGTACCACTATACTTTCATACATTCCCTTCTTTGCCTCCATAGATAACGTTTTTTGTCTCCACAGATACCTTAACACACCACTCACCTTTTTTCCTTCATCAATTCTATGGTTAACCTCATCGTTCATAACCCCATCCGCTGACAAGTCAACTCCCAAATATCTTAAAACATTCACTTCTTCCATGTTCCCTTTCTCCAATGTGATATCCAATTTAAATTAAAAAAATGAGGTATTTATATGTTCCTATGAATGTTAGATGGATGTTATCATGAACCCAACATGATGCAGTCTCAGTCCACCAGTCAATGTACCAGTCCAGTCTTACTGGGTCTTACCTAGCTCACTGCTATACACTATCATGTGGTAATACACTAAATCTGCATACACTGAATATTTCTGCAGTCTTCTAGTACCTGGTTCTATGTATGGACAACACCCACTTATACTAGAATACTGTATTTAATACCTAAAAATAAATAAAACAAGCAAAATAAAATTTTAGAATTTCCAAAGTGTATATGTTACAAAATTAGAAGATTTTTTTTACATATAGTTTAAAAATCCACTGAGTATGCAGGAGAACAATTTGGGCACACAAAATAAAACTTAAAAACTCTTAACATTGCATAATTAAAGTTAGATTATTTGAGTGCCAAGTTTAACATAATTAAGTTGCCTAAAGATAAATGTGATGATTATTTTCATAAAATACAACTCTGTACATATATGTTAATATAAAAAGAGAGTAAATACAAAAGTGTAATGGCAATTCTTGATAAGCAGGCTGCATTACAAGCCTCTGATATTCATGTTCAATTTGTGTCAATTTACATCAATTCATGAGGTTTTTTTTTAACTGTTTTAAAGTAGTTGGCAGATTGATATTTGTATTTAATATTTAATATTAATATTTGTACTTAGAGGATATTAATATATGAATATAAGTATTATACATTATATTTATACAGTATTTATATTTAATTTTGATTTGAAATGAAGTGAAAATAAAATACTCCTTTGACTTTAAAATGCTACTGTTTTAGAGTACTGTACTGTATAAATCAAAGGAATGATTGATAAATAAATCAATAATTTAGGTTAAATTCAAAGGCATGAGAAGAGATTTCTATAAATCCATCACTTACTGTCGTCCTCATGTGTTTATTTTCAGCAAGTCAACATAGGCTTACATACTGTATATTAGGTCAACAGTATATATTGTACTATACTACCTGGCAAAGATAAAAAATCCATTTTTATAAATATGAAACTAAATTAATATTAAAACAAAAATAAAATATACTTACTGACATTCATCCTTTGTATGTACACTCTCATCCGAGCAGTAGAAGAACTTTCCGTTAAATAGTTGTACAGCAATAACAGCGAAGATGAATTGAAACAATATGTACACGATGAGAATATTGAACACATTCTTGAGGGAGTTCACAACACAGTCAAACACCGATTTCAACTTGGGTACTCGCTTGATGGTTTTCAGCGGGCGGAGAACACGAAGTACTCGAAGTGATTTAATGGTGCTGAGGTTTTGACCAGTGGTGCTGCCCCTGTACATACACACAAACACACACACAGGTTAGAATTATCTTATTAGAACAAATTTCCTGTCTATCAGGCTTTATTAGCTGCTTAAGAGTGCCACAGAACATAACGATATTTTTGGTTAAAATAAGTATTCACTAAACATTATATAAAAATATAAAATAATCCTTTATAACAAATGCAACAATACCACACTCATTACTTGGACTTAGGCAATACATATTTTGTTCAAAATGAAAACAATAGTAACTGTACAATACAAATTTGCTACACAAATAAAATACATGGTCTACTATATACGCATTTACTGTACAGTATTTTCTACGTCTGGAATGTTCCCATGACCTCTTTGAAAAAACAGCCTACCTTCCATATAATAAATCCTTAAGTTAGTACAAGGTCTGCTTTCCACTTGCAGCCTGGATTAGTCTCCCCACCTTTCTGTTATGAGTATTATTATTACTATTATTACATTCATGGGGAAGTGCTAAACCTGTAGGGGGGGTCATACAGTGCCTGGGGAGAATGGAAAGTATTCAAGGAATTGAAGCACAGGTCCAATTTCTTAGATCAAGAGCCCCTCACCAGCTTCACAGAACTTCCCTTGAGGTATATGTTATAAGTAGCAACCTATCATGACCAATAATTACCACTAGACAACCACAAGGATCTCACCAACCAAGCCACCACTTTCCAGTATAAAAATTTTTGGCCAGTCAATCACCTGCTCCTCTTCAGACCATTTACATGTCCTGTTACCAACATCTAGCCCATTTGTTAATTTTGCTTCACTTATGAGTATGTGGCCTTTTGTGTAATTTATTTTAAGATAAAAAGGTTCTTATGTAGTGCTTCCACAAAGTAAATAGTACCTTTGTTGCTTGAATTCTAATGGCAAATACTCTTAATGTACCAGTATGTTACACTGCTCAAGCAATACTGGCTGTGAGAATTATTTCATGGTATCGGCATTCAGCATATTAATGTCATAACATTGTTTGTGGCACTGATGCACAGCTATGGCCTGGAAGTAAGTGACAAATTATATTTTCCAAGTCAAAACATATCACCATATAAAAAAATAAGCATCACTTCAAGGATGTTGGAAATACTAATGTGCTTCATATTCTCATACTTTACCTTTACTTCTATTGTGGCTCACACTTCAGCAGTGGATGGAAGAGGTTTTCCCCTTATTTAAATTTAATGGTTGAGATAAAGTTCATGGCTCACCAGAGAATAGATATATCCAAGTAGTATACTCAAAGTTACAGTGAGCACTTTTTTCAGACTTATCACTAAGTGAGTCTTTAGAGATTGTTTCTGCTGTTTAGCAAGATTCTTGGCAAGTTTCCACGAGTAGTCTTTCTCAGAGAATTGAATCCAAATTCTTACCCTCTTGAGATTTCATGTTTGCCCTTTATAGAAGTGGCTATTCAACACATCACTAAGATAAATCTTTCATACTGATTTATATACCTATACTGTATTGTGATGTTTCTACATATGCAGTATTGTATACCAAGTACAGCACTGTATTACTTATGATCACTGCTTCAGTACAAACAGTAATCCGAACAAAATTCGATACCAACAATTACAGATTACTGATGTCCCTCTGTGCAATGTTAAATAAATCCAACAAGAATCAGTGTGTATCAGATTTATAGTTTGTCCTAAATTCCCAAAATCAAACCTACCTACCACTTGTAACTCAGTTTGGTCTTTTTCCTAATTTCATTCTCTGACAAACTTACATTTTCTACATCAATTTGGAAATGTCCTGTTGGCCTGGAGCCCATTTATAACATGGGTGAGGTTACAGTCTTTGACTTGTCAAATTTTATAACATAAATTTGTTTTTAATTCCTCTAATTGAAGTAAAGTACAGGTACTCCACAAATGCATTCATAAACCACTCAAGTATTCTAGCATCTAGACACCCCCCCCCCACACTCTTCAAAGACCTACACCTACTCACTGTACAAAACATTCACTCAGCATATTTAGGGGATTTCTGCATGTACACCCAAATGTCATTCACCTTTGTACAAACATTGTATCATGCTGATTTTTTTTTTATCACACTGGCCGATTCCCACCAAGGCAGGGTGGCCTGAAAAAGAAAAACTTTCACCATCATTCACTCCATCACTGTCTTGCCAGAAGGGTGTTTTACACTACAGTTTTTAAACTGCAACATTAACACCCCTCCTTCAGAGTGCAGGCACTGTACTTCCCATCTCCAGGACTCAAGTCCGGCCTGCCGGTTTCCCTGAACCCCTTCATAAATGTTACTTTGCTCACACTCCAACAGCACGTCAAGTATTAAAAACCATTTGTCTCCATTCACTCCTATCAAACATGCTCACGCATGCCTGCTGGAAGTCCAAGCCCCTCACACACAAAACCTCCTTTATCCCCTCCCTCCAACCTTTCCTAGGCCGACCCCTACCCCGCCTTCCTTCCACTACAGACTGATACACTCTTGAAGTCACTCTGTTTCGCTCCATTCTCTCTACATGTCCGAACCACCTCAACAACCCTTCCTCAGCCCTCTGGACAACAGTTTTGGTAATCCCGCACCTCCTCCTAACTTCCAAACTACGAATTCTCTGCATTATATTCACACCACACATTGCCCGCAGACATGACATCTCCACTGCCTCCAGCCTTCTCCTCGCTGCAACATTCATCACCCATGCTTCACACCCATATAAGAGCATTGGTAAAACTGTACTCTCATACATTCCCCTCTTTGCCTCCAAGGACAAAGTTCTTTGTCTCCACAGACTCCTAAGTGCACAACTCACCCTTTTCCCCTCATCAATTCTATGATTCACCTCATCTTTCATAGACCCATCCGCTGACACGTCCACTCCCAAATATCTGAATACATTCACCTCCTCCATACTCTCTCCCTCCAATCTGATATCCAATCTTTCATCACCTAATCTTTTTGTTATCCTCATAACCTTACTCTTTCCTGTATTCACTTTTAATTTTCTTCTTTTACATACCCTACCAAATTCATTCACAAATCTCTGCAACTTGTCTTCAGAATCTCCCAAGAGCACAGTGTCATCAGCAAAGAGCAACTGTGACAACTCCCACTTTGTGTGTGATTCTTTATCTTTTAACTCCACGCCTCTTGCCAAGACCCTCGCATTTACTTCTCTTACAACCCCATCTATAAATATATTAAACAACCACGGTGACATCACACATCCTTGTCTAAGGCCTGCTTTTACTGGGAAATAATTTCCCTCTTTCCTACATACTCTAACTTGAGCCTCACTATCCTCGTAAAAACTCTTCACTGCTTTCAGTAACCTACCTCCTATGCCATACACCTGCAACATCTGCCACATTGCCCCCCTATCCATCCTGTCATATGCCTTTTCCAAATCCATAAATGCCACAAAGACCTCTTTAGCCTTATCTAAATACTGTTCACTTATATGTTTCACTGTAAACACCTGGTCCACACACCCCCTACCTTTCCTAAAGCCTCCTTGTTCATCTGCTATCCTATTCTCCGTCTTACTCTTAATTCTTTCAATAATAACTCTACCATACACTTTACCAGGTATACTCAACAGACTTATCCCCCTATAATTTTTGCACTCTCTTTTGTCCCCTTTGCCTTTATATAAAGGAACTATGCATGCTCTTTGCCAATCCCTAGGTACCTTACTCTCATCCATACATTTATTAAATAATTGCACCAACCACTCCAAAACTATATCCCCACCTGCTTTTAACATTTCTATCTTTATCCCATCAATCCCGGCTACCTTACCCCCTTTCATTTTACCTACTGCCTCACAAACTTCCCCCACACTCACAACTGGCTCTTCCTCACTCCTACAAGATGTTATTCCTCCTTGCCCTATACACGAAATCACAGCTTCCCTATCTTCATCAACATTTAACAATTCCTCAAAATATTCCCTCCATCTTCCCAATACCTCTAACTCTCCATTTAATAACTCTCCTCTCCTATTTTTAACTGACAAATCCATTTGTTCTCTAGGCTTCCTTAACTTGTTAATCTCACTCCAAAACTTTTTCTTGTTTTCAACAAAATTTGTTGATAACATCTCGCCCACTCTCATTTGCTCTCTTTTTACACTGCTTCACCACTCTCTTAACCTCTCTCTTTTTCTCCATATACCAATACATAATCCAACAAACTACTGTCATTTTGCCCTACATCATATCTTGTATACTTATCCTCTTTTTCTTAAAATATGTATTACCTATAACTAAACCCCTTTCTATACAAAGTTCAATCAAAGGGCTCCCATTATCATTTACACCTGGCACCCCAAACTTACCTACCACACCCTCTCTAAAAGTTTCTCCTCCTATAGCATTCAGGTCCCCTACCACAATTACTCTCTCACTTGGTTCAAAGGCTCCTATACATTCACTTAACATCTCCCAAAATCTCTCTCTCTCCTCTACATTTCTCTCTTCTCCAGGTGCATACACGCTTATTATGACCCACTTTTCGCATCCAACCTTTACTTTAATCCACATAATTCTTGAATTTACACATTCATATTCTCTTTTCTCCTTCCATAACTGATCGTTCAACATTACTGCTACCCCTTCCTTTGCTCTAACTCTCTCAGATACTCCAGATTTAATCCCATTTATTTCCCCCCACCGAAACTCCCCTACCCCCTTCAGCTTTGTTTCGCTTAGGGCCAGGACATCCAACTTCTTTTCGTTCATAACATCAGCAATCATCTGTTTCTTGTCATCTGCACTACATCCATGCACATTCAAGCATCCCAGTTTTATAAAGTTTTTCTTCTTCTCTTTTTTAGTAAAAGTCTACAGGAGAAGGGGTTACTAGCCCATTGCTCCCAGCATTTTAGTCGCCTCATATGACACGCATGGCTTACAGAGGAAAGATTCTTTTCCACTTCCCCATGGACAATAGAAGAAATAAAGAAGAACAAGAGCTATTTAGAAAAAGGAGAAAAACCTAGAT